TCCTCCCCTCGGGATATGTCTAGATTTCAGGCTTCCAGCGAGCAGGTGCCTAGGTCTATAATTAAGTTAGACTCATACAGAGAAATTTGCTGAAAGTTAGTGCAGAGGAAAGTTTCATGGTAATTTACCTACCTACACCCATATTGATAAATTGTATAGTGTTGTTCACATTGTAAACTTTAACCTACAACACATGTTCACACAGAGGTCTCAGAAAAAGCCCTATCTATGCTGGTATAGGACGTGGGTTTTTGAAAGTCCAGGGAAATTATAAGAGCAAGCTATCCATCCCCATCTCCCCATCCTCTCCACCCAGCCATGACAGTATTTTCATTTTGGTATTATGTGGGATTTGTAGGAAATATAAAACACATGTTAGGTAAGGATTTAGTCTGAGCTCATCTCAGGCATTAGGAATTTTGTCAGCTTCTTTAAGAGCTACTCCATTTCTCTGGCTTCATAGACATTCTTGAGTAAATGGACAGAGCTGGGACATCTCTCAGCTCTTTGCTGAGCATTTAGTGCCGTTCAGTCTTTTAGATCCCCCCACCCCCATCTGAAAAGTCGTGATAACAAAAGTGAAAATGGCGACATACTTTTGTGAGGTTAATGATTTTAAATGAGGACAGACAGTCAAACACCGGAGAAGAAGATGGCTCTGAAACTGGCGAGACGGCATTATGCCAGGCTACAGTTGGTTGCTCCATGGCCCTTTTATTTTTCTCCCGAGCAACGTAAGAGCCATGGAGCTCAGAGGACACGGACATCCTGTACAGGAAATAGATGGTGTGTGGAGGGGAGGGAGGGCACCCAGCAGTCATTCTTTGAATCCTTTGGCTAGTTTCACTTGAATACATTAGAGAAGGCCATAAAGGGCCGGGAAGCAGAGCTCTGCCTGGACAGCTTCCAACCCGTTCACAGAGCTCAGGAAAAGCTCAGCTAAGCCACACGCATTTTATGGTTTCCCAAGACAAGATTCTGCTTGGTGGGCTCAGGGTTAAGGAGTCTCAGCAAGTTTTTATGGAGACACTGAAGCATTCTCTTTGTGTTTTCCTCTGTCGCTGAAGGAAGCCCATTGGTGAGAAGCAAAGTCAGGGACTGCCGAGCTGATGAGCTGTGTGAGGCACCAGTGTGAACAAACCACAGTGCAAGTGCAGCTGCTCTGCTTCCTGGAGGTGTCTCACAAATGAGTATGTGTGTTTGCATACACAGTCATGCACATGTGTAAAACCACAGTTGAAACAGAAAAAAAAAAAAAACCCTTGGGAAAGTAGATATGTGGGGATTTTTTTACTTTGACTACACAACATGAAGAGATGGTTTTATGTGAAGAAGAAAACAGCCACGAAGCAAATGACAGAATGTGGAAGGATGTGAAGAGTGAGCTCCTTCCCAAACCAGGAGCTGCCCCCACCAAAAAACAACCATCACTTTTGAAGAGTAAACTGAAGCTTATTTTGCTCTTTGTAAGAATGATATGGAATGATCACTGGGGCAAAAAGACCATTTGTGACAAGAACTCAGCCTTTATTTTGGCCATCACAGCCTATTGTGTTTAATGTCATAACCTGTGAGTTATGGGGTGGAGGGGACTGTTGCCATGGGATATAAACCTGTAGTCCTTGAAATTTTCTGCAACAAGTTCCTTTATCTACTGTCTTAGCTGATTGTTTCTCTTTCTAGGAAATACCCATCTGTTACCTTCCTGGTTTGTGCTTCTCCACAGAAAGCATAATGTTGGTCTTCAAGACACCTTACCACTCTCTCATACTTCTAACTCTTCATTCATAACTAATCTCTTCCCATATTCTCATTCTTCTTGAATTACAATCATAAATGCATGATTACCATCTTATATAGAATGCAAGTTATTGTATTAAATGGAGATGCTGGAATGCTGCTAGCGAGAGACGGGCCTCCTGCTTCTCCCAGGATTAAAACATCAGTGTGCTTCTATCCCATTCTAGGAGGACTAGAAATGGTCCCTTCCTGTCTGTCTTTCTCTCCTTCATTTCCTACTCTGCCCTCCTCCTCTCCCCTTGGTTCTCGTCCTGATGTTTGCCAGTGGTCCACAGAGCTTCCATTTGCAAAAACCTTTAAGAAAAGCAAACAGCTGTATTTCATTTGAAATGACAAATTCATTGAAGGACAAAACCTTAGACACTTAAGTTGGCCTTTTGCTTTCAAACTAGAAAGAACAGATTACACCTCTGAGCCATTTATTACCCCCTGACATGGAGAATATGAGTCAAGGTGCTTAAGCAATAGATACATGTTTCTTGAGGACCGTGCAAACATACACAAAAATGTTTCATTCATTCCTGAATGAAATGAATGAAAGATAGTTCTACTTCAGCCTGATAGAGCAGCTCCACCTACTGCACAAAAACTGTATTTTCCGCTTCATAATTGCACAGTGGAACCTCAACCCTACAGCACCAATCACAAAACAGGACTGCTTTGCAACTAATGGTCAGCATTGAACTCTGAGTAAATTTATCAGAATTTTCTTCTCCTGGTGTTTTCATGTGTGAGGGTGGGTGATGTCAGTGCATGTCTCACACACACACACACACACACACACACACACACGCACACACACACACACACACACAGACTACTCTTACACATTGAGGGTAGCAGTTACAGAATTAGAGAAGATGAGATATACAAGAATATAAGCATGGAAGATACAGAGCAACATAGGACACTGTTGGTGCCTGTAATGTCATTTATTTTGAAAATAAGTGATCTTTCCCATTTCCAATAAAATCAATGGTGTGAGAATTAATAGCTTCAATTGAACCACTGACCATATTTCATCTTGAGGCATAAGCTGATTCTTTGTCAAATGAATCCAGCCGTAATGAGCCTTCCTTGAATCTCCCATTCTCTAGTGTTTTATTCCACAATCCAATACTAACACTTAAATTTACAATATCTTTTGAAAAGATGGCATACAATGTTCTGTTTTATGTTGTATCATTTCTCTCTTTGTGAAGCTGGGGTCACACATTATCCTTCCAACCATTTGGATTAGGTCATCTAGTTTATTAATCACAACATCAAATAAATGTTAGTAAACACAGCACAGCCTTGATATGATTCTTTTTATCATTCTCTGGTGTTTGTTCAAGGTCTTAACTGATTATTGACCTTTCAGTTCATTCTTGAAGATGATTCGTCTTGTCTTGAGGATATGATGTTATCACAAACTGACTTGATAATTACTTTTGCAGCTTCCATCATTCTTGTTAACTTGTATTTGTCAACTCATGATTAATTAATTTATATTTGAAAAGAATGTCACACAATCAAAAAGTTGTATTTAATATTTCTCAAGTCTTTGTTCTCCAAATAAGTTGAATAAGACATAGTTTGTTCTTATATCATGTGACAGATACATAATTATGCAGTTGATGTATGTTAGAAATGTAAGTACCTAATTGGTTTCAATTTTTATTTTGACGTTAAGAAAGGCTATTTGGGTACTGGAGAGAGGCTCAGTGAGTATACTTTTTGCTGTCAAAGCTGAAGACCTTAGTTTGGATCCTATCTCATCATCCTTTCTTCATTATTTAAAATGTTCAAAACAAAACACAGCCAATCAGCACGCAAACAGAAGGCCAGGCACAGTGATTGACACCTGCATTCTCAACACTGGAAAGCAGAGAGAAAGGATGGAACCTAGAGCTCACTGGCCGGAGGTTTGCCCATGGGTGGGTTCCAGGGTCAGTCTGAGACAGTCTCAAAATGTAAGATGGGGGCAATGGAAGGAGATGCATGGTGTTAACCTCTGTCCTCTATACAAGCATGCATACCTGTACACGTATGTGCACACATGTACATACACTGTTACCACACACACACACACACACACACACACACACACACACACACACACACACACACAATTCTTTTAGAACACTATTTGAAACTCCTATAATGTCAAAAGTTTGACTTTCTCATATATACCTGCATTTTATAAAAACATACAATATTTGTTGTAAATTGACCCATTTGTTGACAATTTTGGTGCCTATTAAAAGCTGGCCCTGTGCTAGTTTCTGGGGATTCAGTGATTAATAAATAAACATATCCCTCTCCCTCAACAAGCTTCTTATTAAAAAGTATTCCCAGCAGTAACAGGAGGAAGCTGTGTGCACAAGGGGGATGGCAGAGCCCGAGCTTCTGGAAAGACAGGAAGACTCAGGGAGACGACATCGTTGAGGATAGAGGTCCCAAACTAAGTTTTCAGAGAGGCTAAACTGTTTGCCAGAAAGACAAGTAGAGAAAAGAAACTTCTAGAAGAGAGAATATCTTGAAAGCCCTTGGGATGAGAAAGTAGGGCATGATGGGGGATATTTTAATACACTTACTTAGAGCACAGCATTGCAAAGTATCTTCTAAGGTGGTTCTGGACAAGTGTTCAGAGGTCGGATCATGGAGGATTCTTCATGGGTTTGGACTTATTCTACATGTGGTGATGGTGCTTGGTTGCCTTTTGTTGCTGTATATATCTCAAATAAGGAAAAGAGAACAATGAAATGTGGACTGATTGGGAAGTTCTCATCCACACTATAGAGGAAGGATATGAGCTGAGCGTGATGGAGGCAGGAGGGGACATAAGTTGGGGAGAGACCAGAATTGATCCTAGGGCTAACAAGGCATGATGGGCAGAGGAGGGGAAGATTGGTATCAAATGGGTCCCTGTGGCAGTAAAGCTGATCTGATGGTCACGTTTCTACGAAATCTTTGGGAGAAATCCTGCTAAAGTCCTGTCTCCAGCATGGAGAGAGTTTGATGGCGTCATACCAGACAGACAGGAAGTGCCCATATTAAAGAAGAGTAAAGCAAAAAAGCAGCCAGCTGTCAACACACGTCTAGGGGCAAAGACCCAGGAATCTTGGATAAGATGTACAAGTTCACTAGAAATGTTGATTCTGTTCTCAGAGACTCACGTCTTTCCCACTGTTCTTGCTCCACACGCCCTGTCACAGAGGACTGGTATGGACAGCTACACCCTCTCATCCTTACCCTGAAGGAGTGCATGGGAGAAGTGGTGAGCCGAGCCAAGCAATCCCTGACATTTGTGCTGCTTCAGGAACTAGCCTACAGCCTGCCTCAGTGTCTCATGCTGACTCTGAGAAGGGACATCGTCTTCAGTCAGGCGGTGGGTGCCCAGTGTTGTTTCTACAGAGCCAGGTGAACTGCTGGCATCCCATCCACAGCAGGGGCAGAGCTCCTACCTGGTTTTATTTGTAAAGATCCTTTCTGAAAACCTGGCACCTTGTTTTGTTTAGGTGGATAAACAGGCTGATACATCACGGACAACTTTTGAACATTTGATATTGCTTTGTGAAAAGATACATTTCAATGTGAAATGTATGTTTTGCTTGAACATTGGATGGCCTCTGTGGGGAAGAGACAGTGTCCCTTGCATCATCCCGGGGACAGCCTATGGGTGAAAAGGAAGGGACTGTGGCCTTGCACTGCAAGTGATGGCCAAGAGCTCAGCGAAGGGGGCGTTTGTATAGAACCCCTTATTTATTCAGCTTGCTCTTAAATCTCAGGACAGGGTTTCACAGTGACCTCTTCTTTCATTCATAAAAGAAGTTTTGAAGGCTGCAAGACTTGTCTGTTGGCAGGATGACTCCCTTTGCATATCCATGCCCAATCATGACTCCAAGGCCAGTTCTACCCCCAGGGCTGGGGTACTCTTTCCTTTTGTTCCCTCTCTCCAGCCAATGATTCAGGTTCAGAGGTCAAGTACCTGGAGGGAAGGAGAGAACAGAGCTTCACTTTGTGAGTTGTTATTGCAAAGGGGTATTTTAACCAAATTGCCCATTGCCAGTATATTGTGCTGTTAGTGGTCCAGTGGCAGATGGGGCTAATCAGGCATTGTACTCTCCCTTAAGACTGCTTATCCATGACGTTCTTTTAGTGACTCTAGTCACATGTGCAAAAACACAATAATAGCATAATTTGAAAATCTTAAGGAAGTTTAGTGGGGCCATGGTTTTAGATGGTAGACATTAAATTCAAAGATTTCCCACCCTGATTCTAAAATCCATTTATCTAGCTTCTTTTCAATTCTGTATTCCCAAGCCCTTAGACAATGCTACCCTAGATCAAAGACCATCAATTTATTTTAATAAATATGTGCAAATTCTAGCAGCTTTGTTATATATACTTGGGGAATTTTAATTAAATCTGTGATGTCTCAAAAGTCTAGAGATATTTAAAAACTGAAGTGATGAGTTTGCTGACCCCAGTGAATTTCTTGATTGATTTCTTTCTTTAGCTTGCTGGATTGGTGTGTGGCTTTATCATCAAATTACATACAAGTCTGCATGATCCTCACTTCCTACAGCAGCTACACACGGTGGGCTTGCTGGTACAGTATGAAGGACTGCTAAGTACCTATAGTAAGTATTGTGTGGGTTCATATTAAGATCTTATTGCTAGCCGTAGTGATAATACATCAATCAGTCTCTTCAGATAAGATCAAAATTAAAAAGTGAGCCTTTTCTATGCCACATATTACAAAAATAACAGAGCTTCTAACTTCTGTACTCATTCACCCTTAGGATTGCCTTAGGATTCATAGTATGCTTTGAAAATGGAATTGCGTGTTATTTCAGAGTGGACTCTTGAGCAGCCATCTGGATGTTTTTTAAATATAGAGACTCATTGTTAACACTGTTTTCATTGACTGGATTTTAAAGACATGGCAGCCTTGTGTCTAGAACTGTAGTGTTCAATACAGGAGCCCGTGTGTTTATGGAGTGCTTGAAATTCACCTATTCCAAATCAATATGTTCTAGACATGAATATCAGATTTCAAAGACTAGGAAAGGTAGCATTTTATAGTTGCTTATATTGTTTTACATGTGAATCTTCAGTTTGTATATACTGGGATTATATATAATATATTATTAAAATTAATGTTGCTTTGTTTCATTTTATTCCTTTAAAGAAATGAAGATCAGAAAATATGCAGTTATATATGTAGCCCACATCCTATTCATCTATTTTTATTGGATTATGCTAATCTAGAATATTTATTATGTCTCCAGGCTAAATTTTTCGCAGCTTGAAGACAAAATTAGCATTAGGCGATTGATAATTGATAAAATGATCAGTAAAACTCTATTCTAAAATACCAAATAACAGTCCCGTCAATTAAAAGATGTCTAAATGATACTTTGCTTCATATAAGTCTTAGAAATCTCTCTCTGGCCCCCAATAAAGGTGAACATTCTTCTTCCCTCAAAGGGACATTGACCATTCTATTTCACTGGTAAAAATCTTCACAGTCAGTTGGGGGAAGTATGCTGAATGGACTCACTGCATTCAGAAACTCATTCACTGAACTGCTAGAAAATTCCAGCAGGGAGGCACAGCAGGAAGCATCATTTTATTTTAATAGTCTGTGTGTAACGAGGCACCTTTCTCCCTTTGTAGGTGATGAAATTGGAATGCTGGAGGACATGGCTGTCGGCATTTCAGATTTGAGGAAAGTTGCATTTAAAATAACTGAAGCCAAATCTAGTGATGACCTGCCCGTTCTCACAGGAAGGCGGTGAGTGGTGCCGCTGCCCAAAGCCCAGATGCTGTCATATTCATGGTGTTTTGTGGGCAAATGTCCTTGGATAGTTTGGATTCTGCTTGGGGAGTTTTCTTCTTCTTTTTTTTTGTGAGAAATACATACAGATTGGATGATACAAGGAGGTCTTGAAAACTGAGTAGTCCCATGAGTGTTTGTAAAATGATCATGAGGTTAAACCTGATAATGTTTGTGAAATATAAGAAATCTGAAGTGGCAGTGGCATCCAGAGACTCCTCTTCTTCATTACTGTCTGGTCTGAAGCTCTGGGTGTTTCTACGTTTGCGGGAATTGCTCAGCTAATAGCTTCATAATTCTTGAGATGACTTCAAATTAAATCAGTTAAAAGCAGCAACATGGAAGGAAGGATATATTCTATGTCGAGTGTATACGCCACCATTTTTCTTAATTATTTTTGACAATTCACTTTCAGACTGTGAGATTTCCGAGAAGGGTTTTTTAATAAATAGCTTCTAGGGTCAGACTATGACTGGCAAATTTCCAGAAATAATACAAAATGATGGTGTGTAAAAGAGACTTCTAATAGAAGAATTATACCATATAATAAGTTGTTTCAATCAGAAGTCATCCAGATTTGAAGTGATCTGATGTTAACACATTTAAGTACTATATGAGTTACTTGAATTTTGAAATAGTCTCAGGTCACAATGTAAACATAACATGTATTAGAGAAAGATGGAGAACAGACAAAGTAAACATACAGTAATTACTTAGAGCTATGTGTTAAAAGTGCGTACAAAACAGCCAGGTCCCCATGCATAGTTGAAAGATAACTCTGGCACATACAGGAAACAGAGCCCTAGGAAAGTCAATATCTCATCTGGATGTTAATGCATCCTTTTCTATTCATTGGAGGAAAAAAATGAATAAAAATTGTTCACAAATGCACCTGGAAAAATAGCACAGCTCTGTACATTATTCTGAAGTTTGTTACCAAATGTGACAAGCTGATACTTCCGTCACAATTCATGAAGAAGTTTACCAAGCCATTTGTGCAAGTGAAGAGAAGGATGATCTTGCTGAAGACATTCCTTCAGCTGCATTTATGTTCAGAACTTGTCAAAAAAAAGTGCAGGATTCCCAGAAGGACAAAAAACTGTATCTGGGCACATCCTCTCTGCTATAACAAGAGTCATCTCAAATAGCTGTTTTGTCTGGGGAGGAGGCTTAGTTGAATTACTTGCATATCAAGCTCAGAGACCTCGGTTTGATCCTCAGCCCAGAGAAAACTGGGCCTAGGTTCCATCACCACCACTGTGTGTGTGTGTGTGTATGTGTGTGTGTGTGTGTGTGTTGTGTGTATTTGCGTATGTGTGTGTGTTGTGTGTATTTGCACATTTGTGTATGTCTGTGTGTATGTCTGTGTGTTGTGTATAATTGTACATGTGTGTGTGTCTGTGTGTGTTACTTTTTTTGTGGCCATGATAAAATATCCCTACAAAGACCAAGTTACATGGAAAGGAAAGAGAAGACTTATTTTGTTTTACAGTCCCAGAGAGGAGATTATTCATCACTGCAGGGGAGACCTGGTAATCAGGAAGAAGACTGATCACATTTAATCTGCACTTAGGAGGCACACAGAGAGACCTGGACATGAGACCCACTATACCATCTTCAAGCCTAGCTCCAGGGACACACTTCCTTCAGCAAGGCTTTCTAACGGTTCCATAACCTTCCAGACAGCACCACCAACTGGGAACCAGTTACTTAAATACATGTAGGGACATTTCTCACAGAAAATAACACACACACACACACACACACACACACACACACACACGCATGCATGTATGCACACACATAGACATACCTTTAAAAGATATCACTAAGAACATGAGAAAACAAGCCACAAACTGAGAGAAAACATAAAAATCACATGTATTTTAAAGGACTTGTTCCCAAAATATAATAAGACTTTTCACATCTCAAAGATAACTTAAAAATATAATGTAAGGAAAAAATAGAGTACCTTAATTCAACACCAAGTCCTAAGCCCTGAAATTGTATGCATACAAGCAACACTAAATGGACTCATCAGGTTGCATTTATGTATTTTTCATATATATGATAATAATAATCAAGAAAAGGAGGCCATTCATTGGAGAAGGAATAACAAGGATGTGAGGACATGGAAGGAGGAAAGGGAAGAAGGGAAAGAAGAAACGGTGTAATTAGATTTTAATTAGAAAATTTAAAAGGAAATAACTAAACAATTTCTTTAAAAATCAAATACAAACTTACACTTTAATTCTTAACTATATACCCAAGAGAAAATGAAGCATTTGCCAACCAGAAATATTTACCTAAATATTCACTGTGAGACTATTCACAATAAAAATTATGCATAATCTATATTCACTAATGAATGCATGGACCAAGTGTGACAAGGTGTACTGACATGCTAAAATGTGACTTAGTAACACGCATCACCTACATATGCTGTAGCATGGATGACGTTTCAACATGAAGTGACTCATTTGTGTCTTAATATTCTTGAAAGAGTTGAAATAAATATCAGCCTATTAAAAATAATCCAAGAGAAAGTAGACAGAGAAAATTACAGTTTCTGTATTTGGAGGGTGCTGCCAATATCCATGGCTGCAGGACCCATGGTGCTCCCAGTTTTCTCAGCCATCACAAGTTAAAAACAAATGTGAATGTGTAGCCGTATTTCTCAGACTGCCAACCAGCTCCCAAATGAAGACACGGAGACTTACTATTAATTATGAATGCTCAGTTGTAGCTTAGGCTTTTCTCACTAGCTCTTTTAACTTCATTTAACCTGTTCTACTCATTTACGTGCAGCCCTGAGGCTCAGTTACCTCATCTATATACTGCCCATTCTGCTTTCCTGCTTCCTCAATGTCTGGCTGGATGCCCCCAGCAGGCTGGCTGGCTCCCCTTTTATGTCTGTCCACCAGTCCTACCTATCCCTGTTCTGCCTAGCTATTAGCCACTCAGCTTTTTATTAGACTAATCAGGTGCCTTAGGTAAGCAAGGTAAACCAGCAACACATCTTTACATAGTCAAACAAATGCAGCATAAACAAATGTAACACATCTTTACATAGCTAAACAATTATTCTGCAACACAAACAAATGCAACACATCTTTACATAATTAAACAAAGATTCTGCTCCACAACATGAGTCGATGATCAATAGTGTTTAACAAAATGTTTTACTGGAGAATTCAGAAGGATTGTCTGAAGGAGACTCACTCTTTGTCCTGTTCTTTTTCCAATATGTGAATTATGCTCCTGCCTACTCCATATGCTTCTGAAAGTATGTAGCTTTCTCCAGTTCCTAGGGTAAATGCTTTAGATGTCTACAATCAAGTCTTTCCTACATCAGATAACAAGTGTAACATGTGCAAGGAGCTGAGCTCATTATATGGATCCTAAATTTTCAACATTGCATAGTTAGGATCGTTTTTAATGGAACTTTCCAATGAAAAATGTTTCCGTTTTCTGCAAAATTTTCAAAGGAATCACAAATGCCAAAGGTTACATATTCAGTTATTAAACTCTTTTACTTCCAAAAGCCTAAGTCAGTGTTGTATTCCAACCTGGTTTTCCTCTGAAGGAACCACAAACAACCTAAAGCAAATAGCAAGTGCCATTCTTTCTCTGCCCTTTGCCGTCCGCAGTGAACACTATGTGGTGGAGGTCAAGCTTCCAGCGACAGTATTTGAGTCGCTCCCTCTGCAGATTAAAGAAGGGCAGTTGCTTCACGTGTATCCAGTTCTGTTTAATGTTGGGATCAACGAGCAGCAAACCCTTGCTGAGAGGTAAGCTTCGTGAGAAGGATGATGTTCAGCGTTTCTTTGAAATGCCATATTTCTGCTTACAGAATTTAGACATATGTATGTACAGCATTTGCCTTTCAATCAATACACTATCTAGTTACTTCTTGTAACAAGGTAAACTGTACATATAAAGGAATCATGCCACTAATTAAATTTAAACGTGTCCAAACTTTGAGAAATATATTGAATGTAATAGGAAAGTATGAACACAGCCTGTGAGTGGGACCTGTAGAGTAATCTCAGCCTCTCTCATTCACAGACTTTTAAAGAGCTAGTTAGGATTTTCAAGGACCAGTTAACCTCCCGACTAGACTAATTTTTATCATCCGTGTCATTCAAACTGCACTATAGGTGACTTTATTTTGAAAGCACTCTCCTTTCCTCTATCTCCCTTGTAAATTAAAAATGTATCTTTTAATTTCCTGGAAGCTGTATGAGAGTGATAGGATTTGAAGAACAAACAAAATTGCAGAAGAGGGGAAATGCTGAGGGATGCAGGAACGCCAGTTTGCTTGGCACTCTGACGTCAACATACTATTGATCCAGCCAAATCACTTCCCCTCTGTTCTTGGGTGCCTATTTTTCTGATTTCAAGTTTTGGTCTATCTAGGCAACTCTTGCATGTGAGATATACTGCATAAATCTCATAACATTTTATTTATCCCAAATAATAAATACATATTTTATATGATCATTCTTAGGTAAATAAATGTGAATCAACTTTGACTAGCATAGAAGACTAGACAGCTTGAAAGACTAAAATTTATTCCTCACAGTTAAGAGACTGGGAAATCCATGAGTCAGTTCCAGGGCATTGGTTTCTGGTGATGGCTCTTTTTCTAAATGCTCACATGACCTCTACTTTACACATAGGTAGGGGAAGGGCAGAGATCTTTGGTATCACATTGTAAGGACACTAATCCTATGGGGTCAGAACCCACTCTCATATTATTGTTTAACCTCAGTTATTTCTTAGAAGCCACACCAGTAAATATAGACATACTGGAGGTTACAGTTTCCACATGACTTTTGTGAGAACACAAAACCTTAGTCCAACAGTCCTCCAGTTGCTTACAGTATCTGGTCAGGTCAGAGAACCCTGAGGAAACTGTCCTATGTGTTTTGTGGATACTGTATTCCTGTTCTTCAGATACAATTTGATATAGATATAGACTATGGCTTCTGCCAGGAACTGCTTTGCCAAGCTCTAGGACATAGGGAGAAAAGACTGTCCTCCTTTAGAGGAAGTAGGTCAGCAAATATCACATGAAATTTGGGTCATGAAATAATCAGAGATGTTGAAGAGACAAAGCTAGTTAAGAAAGAATGTGATTCTGGGATAGGAACTTTCTTGTAGGGAGGTGATTTTCAATCTGTGGGTAACAATCCCACTGGGGGTCACATACCAGATATTTACATTATGATTCACAACAGTAGCAAAATTACAGTTATGAATTAGCTATGAACTAATTTTATGGTTGGGGTCATCACAACATGAGGAACTGTGTTAAAGGGCCACAGCATTAGGAAGGTTGAGAACCACTGTTTTAGGGGAATTTGCCTTTCACTGCCTTTGAAGGACAGATAGGAAGTCGTCCAGTTGATATGGAAGGTAAGATAGTACACTTGGAGGAAGATAACATGGGGGAAGTCTCATGGGCATTATAATGCTTAAATTAGGGAGAATGTTCTAGCTGTAGCCCACAAGCATCTTCTCAAGAATTTGTGGAGGTAAGATGCTATAACTAATGGGGCTGGATTCAGTTTGTTCGAGACAGGGTTTCTCTCTGTAGTTTTGGAGCCTGTCCTGGAACTCGCTCTGTAGACCAGGTTGGCCCTGAGATCCGCCTGCCTCTGCCTCTCGATTGCTGGGATTGAAGGTGTGCGCTACCAACCACCCATCATGAATTTGGCTTTTATAGAGAGATGAGAAACACTTCAGTTTAGTGACCTGATATAAAAAAACACGTTTTAGATTAACTTTTCTAACATTTTAACTTAATGCACAGTGGGCTGTCTAATACCAGCTGATATCAATAAACATTTGCTGATTGAAATCATGTTCTAGGAATACGTTAAATGAGGGTGGAGGGGAAAGAGGGGGCGGAGGTGTAACACTGAAGTGTCTGCAAAGCACTGTGAGAGGAATTGCACCTCATATAACTGTAGTGATAAAAGCAGAAATTTGAAAACCCCAGTGAGTAACATGAGAGAAAGAGAGGGAATCTGAGTACTGCTTCCGATTTCTACCACAAATCTGATTTTGTGGTAGAAATCGGAAGCAGTTTAGAAATAATCAATAGAAGAAAATGATTTCAGTTTGTGGTTGGGAACGAATAGTAAATCTACAGTGAGACTTCATTTGACACCTAGGAAAAACATATATAGATTTGGTTGGAGGTTCTTGTTGGAAGCCACTTGCTAGAGAGACAAACTTCAAGTATGAAACTGGGACACACTCAAAGAGAAGACAGTCACAATGGAATACAGGACCAAGCTTTGTGACAAAGGGGGATGAGAAGCACCAGTGCACAGCTGCTGGACGTCACAGGCCCACACCGAATGTGTTCAGAGTTAAGTTCTCGCAGGCAGACTTCAGGATTACACCAGTGTACCCAGTGGTTGGCAGAGGGCAAGATGACACCTAGTTCAGCTTCCAGACATGTTCTTCTAGACTTCTGTGCAAGCATGGGTAGGAGATCCTGAATGGATAGAGACAGATGGGGTGCAGACTTGCAGAAGAAGTGTGGAGTGGGTTAGGAAAAGGATCGCCATCTATCTAAAAGGACAAGACAGAAAATGTGACTTTTTGGTGTTGTTTCATGCCCTCTGACTCCCTTCTTTGTGTTTTTTTTGGTGGTTGTTGTTGTTGGTTTTTTGTTTGTTTGTTTTTGTTTTCCTGTTTTCAGGTTTGGAGATGTTTCTTTGCAAGAAAGTATTAACCAAGAAAATTTTGAACTTGTTCAAGAATATTATTCGATATTTATGGAAAAGATGCCACCTGATTGTAAGTATATGAGTTGTAGAAAACATTAACAATCAGCTCTTGATTAAAAATCTTCGGGGGAGGCTGGAGACAAGGGCTATGACTAAAGCAGCATGGAGTGGGGAGAGAGGAATTTATGAAAACTATATATGGTTCCCAGTACGACAGCATCAGCATCCCTGGAAACCCATCAGTAATGCAGGTCCTCCATTTCCTTTCAGACTCCTGCATCCTCCGGGAGCCCATGCTTCCCAGTGATGTCTGATCCATGGTAGTGTTTGAAAACTATTAGTAGGCCATCCTTATTCACAGGGTAAATCAAAAGCAGGTTGTTGGAAAATTGTGAAGGGCTTTGTTATACCAAAAACAACCATATCACCTAAAAAGGAAGCAAGTACAAGTACTTACAAGCATTGCCTAACATATGAATTTAAACTATTCAAAGAAATAAATGTTTAAAGATTTAAGAACATTAAATGTTCTATATTACCAACTAAATAGAATTGTTCCCCTAATGTCCATGAGGGATTGGTTTCTGGACACCCTACAAATACTTTAAATGAAATCATTTCTACTAGTAAAAACCTAGTGCAATCTAAGCAGTATGGAAATGTCTACTATGCTGTATTTTTCTAGGGAATAATCACATATACACAAAGTCTATCTCTTTCCTGAGGAAGACTCAACATTCCTTAGTTGTCTGCAATTCTTTATCAAGGACTGAGGCCGTATGAACTTTCCATCTTCCACATCAGCATATCTGCTGGTGTCCTTGTTCAGGTCTTGTGTAGGCAGCCATGTGGATAAGATTTTTATGGGCATAGTTTCTCTGACATTTCTAGGAAACTAAATCTCAGAGCAATCTTCCTGTTCCTCTGTCGCCTCTTCCCTCATGGTCCCTTAGTGAAGAAGTTGTGTTGTACATGTATAACTTGGGGCTGATTATCAAGTCACTTGTTCTCTGCATTTTGATCAGTTGTGGTTTTCTGCAGTGGTCTCTGTCTGTTCCAAGGAGCCACATCTTTGATGAGGGGTCAGATCTGCACTTATCAGTGGAAGTCATGGATCTTGGAGGGCCTCCAACTGCCACTTTACAAAACCCAGCAAAATTTCTATCTACAGTCTAAATATTAACCCTTATAACCACAGATTGAAACAATTTAAATTGAGCCAATCACATCCAATGCATTAAACCTTAGTGTACTTGATTTTCCCTACTTTGTTTCTTATATTTTTGAGGCATATCAGATTTTCAGCAGAATAGAATGGTGCTGTCATTGTGGTCACACTCTGAGATTTGTATAATCACAGGAACATATATGGATTGTACCTCTGGTAGAGATGTCACAACCCAAAGCAGAGCTTGGGTAACATCCCTTTTCAAATGGCAACCAAAGAGCTGTTTTAGGAGAATGGAGAGGGAGAGGCTAAAAAATTAGCTATGATGACAAGAACTACCATTCTGGTAGATATGACCCTTCCGAGTCATCTCTTTAACCCATAAAATCTGTTATTTTTTTACAGTAAACTTAAGGAGCTTATATTGAAGGACAGATAATTTATCAAATATAACATTTGCTTTTATTAATGCACTACACTCATGTTTCCTGTGAAATTCCTAACCCTGTGTTTTAAATGGCTTACAAGTGAAATGCTTGGTTTCTATGTGGTTTTCGAAGTAAAAATTACTTCTTCTCCAAGGATGCCATTAATCTTAATGCATATCCTCTACCTTTATCACATCAAGACTATGATGGGTCTTCCCTAGGCTATATGTTCACTCAGTGTCAAAGAGCTCTTATTTTTCTTTTACTCATATAGGAAAATTTGTGTGCAAGTATAATCTTCCCCAAGTATTCTCTAATTCCATGACATATTCGTAGACTCAGTGGATATTCTCAATTCAGTAATCTATAAAAATGTTTTCCTTTAGTAGCTGCTATGAATGTTACTGAGCATTTAGCCTTATGTGTTAGTAAATGGGAGTGTGATGTAAAATAAAAGTGGCCCATCAGCCTTGCCCATGTCCTTCTGAGATGCTTGGTACAGTCTAGTGAATTACCAGCTAAATCTGTTTAAAAATCTCAGTGCCATTGGAATAACTGTTCATTTAAATTCATGTAGGATCCTATGCTCTCATCTTCCCTCACATGAAAAAAAGGGGGTGCATTATTGGAAGGCTCAGTGGGCCTTCATATATGGGTCATATATTTCATCATACATATGCAATTTTTGCTGGAATTCACATTCAATTTAGCAGGCGCTGGCAGTGCGCAGTCACTCTCCTGCCAATCTTTGCTGAACATTGGTCTGAAGCAGCTAGTGTGTATCAGAAATAAAGACCTGGTCCAAGTGTCTCCAGCCGGCTGTTGTGGGTTCTTCCTCCTGGTCTTCTTTGTACAGTGTTGCGGTTTTCAGGGGGTTATGCTTTCTGCCCTGACACCAAGGCAGGGTAAATCTGGAGCTGTTTCCCCGGCCCTTGCTGTGATAGTCACATGCACCTTGATCAGCTGGGGCAATCCAGCAGGCGGGGCCAGCGCTTCACTCCTCCTGATCTTTGCACAAGGCTTGTTGCTGTTCCTTTCCTGCCTCCCTCAAGCACTAAGACTTACCTTTTACATTCAGAATAAAGTCAAAGAAAGAGCTCTTCTCTGACTCACTAGTGCAGAGAGCTTCATGTTTCAAAGTCTCCATGTCGTTGCAGATGTAAGCAAGAGCTTAGTAGAAGGAGCCAGAGAAGTGGTCTCCCCTCCTTCAAGGAGGAAGGACTGACTGCTAATTTATTACATCCAAAGTCATGTCCTTTTTTCTAATATTGTGTTCAAGCATTTTTTTATTTACGCAAAATGCAGTGAATGGTATTAACACCCAGGTCTACTAGAAATTCACCAAAATGGACTTCTTTCTTCACACAATAAGTGTGGGCTGTGCAGCATGGAGAGCTAAGAAGGAAAAACAGGGAGGACATTTTAGCTGTTCTAAACTATGATTAAAACATTTGACATCCTTGTCATATATGGTATTTCATCCATTGTAACAATAAGAATTGCATATAAAATACTTCGTTGCAGGAAAAAAAATCTCAGGTTTGCGATGAGAATAAGTATAATATTGTCATATATTTCATCATACATATGCAATTTTTGCTGGAATTCACATTCAATTTAGCAGGCGCTGGCAGAGATGATATTATTTATAATACTCTGTGTCAATCACCAGAGAAGATGAAGATGAGTAGGTCTGCGCCCTGGTAGCTTGCAGTCTAATGAGTCAATGTAATCAAGTGATAATCTACAATTAACTCCAAATCCCTTTGCAGAAGAGAGTGGTTTGGGGGTGATGAATTTTTCCCAAGTAATTTAGCGCTATGGTTTTTCTGCTGTTGCTTTACTTTCTCCTGGATGGTTTCTGATACACATGGCCCTGCATGGTTACAGCATTCAGTTCTGTACTAGGAAAAATGAAGCATTCTACATAACTCCTCCCCTGACAAAAACAAGAAAATAAAATATGCATCTTGTGTTTTATTAGAATTAATTTTAGATACATTATGTGAATAGACTTCTATATAATCCCCATAGAAAATGAAGAAAAGATCTGTCCATGCAGAGAACAGGAGACAGCACACCACAATGGGGAAGTTACTCTGAGTGGAGTCAAATAAGAAAGTGACAGAATTGTCATCCAGGGGAGGTGAGCAGAGAGAGCAAGTGCATTTGTTAACAATGGGGATTAACAAGAAGAAGCAATTAGACTTTGAAATCAATGGCAGCATTTCATGGAATGGTTTTTAAAATGTGTAAAATAAAAGTCCACCGTAAGCTTTTAAGGAGAGAACACATATGGTACATGTAGGAAGACAGAGTAAAAGTCACACCCTTTGGAAACTCAACAATGTTCACTAAGAGACACAGGCAGGCTCAAGCAAATTGAAGTAAGTAGGAGCATTGTTTCATCTTTTGTTCCCTTTCATTTGTCAAGATGGCAGGTTAGGGTTTTTATTGCTGTGAAGAGACACTATGACCACAGCAACTCTTATAAAGAAAACATTTAATTGGGGTGGCTCACTTGTATTTCAGAGGTTCAGTCCATTGTCACCATGATGGGGAGTATGGCAGCCTGCGGGCAGCGGTGGTGCTGGAGTAGCTGAGAGTGCTATATCTTGCAGATGACAGGAAGTAGACTGACACACTGGGTGGTATCCTGAGCATAGGATACCTCAAAGCCCACCCCCACAGTGACACACTTCCTCCAGCAAGGCCACACCTCCTAACAGTGCCACTGCCAATGAGATTACGGGGCCCAATTATATTCAAACCAGCACAACAGATGAACATGTTTAAGGATAGATGGAAAGTTCAGGCTGATAGATATGGTCTAAGGAGATGGTCTTCCTGAGAGATTCTAGAGAAGGGGGCAATGGGACCCTTGCCACCACCAGAAAGCCAAAGTAAAGCCCACAGAGTGAGCAGAGGTTTCCACTTCCTTGTGAGGCAAAGTAGACAATCCTAAGGGGAAGACAATCAGAATTCTGGCTTCTAGAAAGAGAAAGCTGCCCTGGCTGTGTGGAGTCTACGAACCTGCCAGTGTGAAGCCTCTCAGAATTAGGCCAGTTAGAGCTCTGTAAGCATTGTGTTCTGCGTGCAGGTGATGGTCTTAGGGCTCATAGTATGATTTGAGTTGTTCTCCACACCTATGGGGTTCCCACTGCTCCCCAGTGGCTTTAGAGGAAGAAATCACAAAACAGAGGTTTATAGCTACTTCACCATCTTTAAATCAATCATAGTATCAATCATAATTGCTGAAACATGTTTTTTCATTTCTTTTATTGTCTTGATGTAGGTTTCCCTCAGGAATTTGAGGCTAACCCTGAACTCAGTGGCCTTCCTGCCTCAGCCTTCTGAGTTTGGGAATTAAAGGCATTAGCCATCATGTTCAACTATTATATACTTTGTAGATATTTTTTGCAAAAGCTGTGCATGCATGCTGAGAATTCTATTCAGTTAAAATATAAAAATTGT